TGGTGGGCACCACGTTGGGGATGCCTGCATTAAGCCATAAAAAGAGTGTACCGTAGTACAGGCTATTTGTCATTTCCCCTCGGGTTGATGTTATCATCTACCCCCAGCCTTTTGATAAACACAGATTGGCAGGCGGTGGACCTCTTGATGGCACCTGGTATTTCTGGCCACTGTGTGATACAGAGTGTTGGACTGGATGGGCCTTTGGCCTGATCCAACATTGGCATCTCTTATGTTCTTATGTTCTTATGAATCAGAATCCCTGTTAGGCAAGCATACCAACTTCCACATGTACACTAGTCCTCATTCTTCCTCCTGAACAAGAGTCAAAGGCCACTTCCTAAACAGCTACACGTTTGCCTGTGGCTTATACCGGGGACTGAAAAGGGGACACAGAAATTCCCTGGAAACTTCCAGGTTTGCCCAACCGAGCCATTTGTATACAAAGCTTGTTGTGCAAGCAGGGGCGAAGCTGAATCAACAGTGGCTTTGACGTCCCTTTCCATTAAAGCGATGGCAGCCAACATAAAATTCTAGTCAAGATTCACAGTGGAAAAAATTATAAAAATATATATTTCTATACCGTCTGAGGTACTGAGGTTTTTCTTAGTAGATTTTCTTCTTCTCTCTGCTGGTTAAAAATGAGGTGGATGCTAGAGCGGCCGACCTCCAGGCGGGGCCTGGTGATCGCCCGCTTTTACAGCTGGTCTCCAGACACAGAGCTCACTTCCCCTGGAGAAACTGGCTGCTTTGGAAGGCGGGACCCTGTGGTGTTATACCCTGCTGAGGCTGGACTTTGATCACATCTACATCACATTACTGCAGTGCAGGAATGGAATTCAGGGGAAGGCCCAGCCTACCTACCTCTGGGTCTCACTTAACCTTTTATTCAGGATAGGTTCTAAGTACTTAACCGTTTACCCCAGGAATGAAATTTGGGAGAGTTAGTGAGCAGCAGCATGACAAGGAAGCAAGAAAGACCCACTCTACGAAGTCCATGGATAACTGGATGGACGCCAGTCATTCTTCTATCCATGCTTTGTATAAAGGCATCTATGTTCTTATGTGGAATGTGATAAATGCCACGCACTAGACTCTCACAATCACAGACAATGCAAAGCTGGAGGAGGAGCAGAAGGAAAAGGAGAAGGAGAAGGAGAAGGAGAAGGAGGAGGAGGAGAAGGAGAAGGAGAAGAAGAAGGTATTCCACAAGGTATAGATAGGGACTCTGGGGCAAGTGATGCTCTGTCATCTTGGTGCTTGGGGGGGTCAACAGTGGGAGGGCTTCTAATGTCCTGGCCCCACTGGTGGACCTCCTGATGGCACCTGGTATTTCTGGCCATTGTGTGATACAGACTGTCGGACTGGATGGGCCTTTGGCCTGATCCAACATTGGCATATTTTATGTTCTTATGTTCTTAACCCTGCGGTGATCCAGATAGATTCTTGGGGTACAAGCGTGTCAGGGTTTTTGGTTTTTTTAAGTCTTGGCAGCTGTTGGAGCTTACTCCAGTACATTAGTTGTTATTCCCTTCTTCAGTGGAACTCCGCAGTGTGTTACTGGGTGTTGTTTCCATTTTATCCTCACAAGAACCTTGCCAGGCACATTTGGCTGGGAATGCGTGACTGGTCCAAGGCAGTGTTCCCTCTAAGCAGAGTTAGTGTGAGCTAGCTGACAGTTTTTTAGCCTCTGGCTCACACCTTTTTGTCTTAGCTCAGGAAGGATGGCTCCAGAGCAAACTAATTTATGCAGAGGCCAAATC